AGAAAAATACAATTCTGATAATATGACAAACATAAGACAGACATAAAAAAAAAACAGAACCCTCATATTTATGCTGCTCTCTAATTGCTCAGTTTGCAGTCGAATTCTGTTCTGTAATTGAAGAAAGCGGTGAGGTGACTGATCTGACCATTGTCTAATTTCTATTTTAATATGCATCAACATTCACCAGAAACTGAGAGGGGTAGATTTGCATGCTGGGTATTTTAATTTTCTCTGCGCCGCGAGGACGCCATCATTCCTCTCCGGAGCTCCGATGGATGAGGGGTGTCTGTCACCACCATGTCGAGTTCCTCTGACGTGAAGCTCTCCGGCACCTTCCTCTTGCTCATCCTTGGAGCGCTCGCCAATATCTTCAACCTGGCGGCCACGGTGGTGCAGCAGCGGCGGTCCGGAGGGGTTAAAACCGTCGCTGTCCTCATCTGCTTCATCTCACTGGGCAACGTCTTGCTGCAGATCTCAACCTTCATCCTCGGGTTGGCGTGCTCTGCTGGCCAGACTTGCAGTTCTTCTTCTGCGCCGTTTTGTTTGTCTGGCTCAGCAGCAGCTCCGTCAGCTTCTGGTCCATCGCCGGGCTCAGCGTCCTCTACTGTATGACGGTGGTGAGTTTCTCCTCAGCCGTCTTCAGAGCACTCCAGAGGAACATCTCAGCCATCCTGAACGTGGCCTTGATGGTGATGCTGTTGACCTCCTGCGTGATGTTCGCCCCGTTCTTCTACCTTCATTTCCAAAGAGAAACTCCATCCAACTCGACTTGCGTCTTCAGGAAGCCTCTGTTCCTCGCCTGGGTTGACGTCCACGTTTACGTGATGGTCTTTATCTCCTACCTCACCCTGATGCTTTTGGCGATCATGCTGTCAACTTCCCTGCGGCTGGCCGTGTTCCTCTGCAGACACACCTCATCCATGCAGAAGAAGAAGCAGCAACAGAGGAGCTCTAATGCTGCAGAGTCCTACCTCCTGGTGTGCAGACTGACTGTCGCTCTGGTTTGGGTTTACTTCACCACGCCGCTCACCATCTCCCTCTACTACTTCCACGCTATCTTTGCTTCTGGGTTGAGCGCTGACATGCTCTTCCTCGGTTTGTCTTTTTATTGCGTGGCTTCTGCGTTGATACTCACCTGCTCCAATAAAAACCTGAGAGAGAAGCTTGGTGTGCTGCTCTGCAAGAGAAACACAAAGGCCAGGAAGGCTGGAGATGAGCAGGAACTGACGGCAACAGTTTGATGAGTTTTATATGAAAGACGTGTACAGACAAAAAGAGTTTTCTGGGGGTTTAGGTAACAACGGGCACCATGACAAAGACTTATCGTGATGCTTAATGACCTTCAACCAGAGCTTACATGCTCTAGACAAGCTGGAATCAACATCTATTTATTGCATGTCATTTTCCAGAAAAATGCAGCTAAATCTCATATGTAACAGCTT